TTGATGACTTGAGGAAAATACTTCTTCGATCACCTATGGTACTGAAAGAGAACCACTATCTTAACATTAGTGAGGAATTACATTCAGCATATCAGTGTAGCAACTTTTCGCAACCACGTGGACCCCAGGTCTATACACGTTATACCACGATCAGCGCTGAAACAGGTGTACACTCGAAACTTGTACAAAAACATCGACAGGGGACTGCAAAGTGCAAAATCGATAGCGTTTAGGCAAAACCCTTCCGATACTGACGCAACCTCAGCAACGGCAGTAAATTCTCGTACACAGTCCAGGCGGAATTCAAATCGTCATCCCGTTCATTCTTCAGCAACAGCTGATGGCGAGACACAAACTGATTCTGCGACTAAAAGACGCCCAGTGAGATGTATAGTGTGTGTGGTGATCTGTGTTGTAATTGCAGTCCTTGGCCTCTGTTTCATTTGTTACGCCATCTTCTACATTGTACAGCATCAGAATTGCGCTGAACAACCTGCAACAGATTCCAGAAGGTTAGGTGTAGTACCAAAAGGCACCGTGGCATAAACTGTGTGCCTGTGTACTTCCGTGACTTCGAAACACGCGTGAGATAATTGGTATCAAACGTATCTGTGAGATCGAATTCCAGGTCCGGGATTGGCTAGTCCATTCGGATGACCTATGGCCACGTAATGGACTACTTTCTTGAGTGTAAGGTAGTGATAACGTCGTATTGCTTCGGTCACGTTCATATATATGTGTTTGTCGAAAACCACTGTTTTCTTGTTTATTAATGTTGTAAAGTTTGATCTAGTTTTGACTGTCATCAACTTCATTATTCAGAGGTATGACGGAAATATTAGTATAAAGGTCACAAAAGGTGTGAGAAGTAATCAGTAGGCCGCATGACGTGTTTTCATGAATTGATATCCCTTTGATAGTTGGACACTTGTATTTTCAATTTAGAAAAAGAAATCATCTTAGTTTTGTTTGACATTTCATGAAAATCTGTCACTCCAAAAATACATGGCGTTTATAACATAGGAAATTCCAACGTAATTGTCATCGGAATGCAATGACTTAAAGAGATGGAACATATACACGTTATAATGACGCCTGTATGACGCATCGGAAGGATTCTATTGTGTTACAGCTCTAGTTTGATTAATAACAATGAGTTTTAAATGCATGTGAAAATACTCAGATAAAAGCTAATACAACTAACTTACAGTCAGAAAAAACCTTTTGTCCAAGCTCTTGAACACGTCAAGGTTGTGAGATACATTGTTCCATTTGCTCGTTAGACATGTGATAAAGTGTCTGAGATCAACCTTTCATAACCTCTGATATTATAGAGAATTGATTCACACCCACGTCATATGTATAATTATTATTATAGGATATTTATATAGCGCACATATCCAGGCAACTAGTGCTTGCACAAGGCGCTGGTATAAATAGAGAATTGATTCTCAACGATTGCTTGGAAAGGGTATTACTTTATGCATGTAAACGATCCCTTGGTTTGCAGGTGTCTATAACAAATACAGTTGCCCTTGGAGAGACTAGTAGGTATCCTATTCCTGTGTACATACTTAAGCGTTGTTTTGCTTACTGGATAAAACTCCTCTCTGTCCCCTTTTCACACTATCCATCAAAAGCCTACATACTGTTTCCTAATCTTGATTTAGACGCAAGCGCTGAGCGTAAGAGGTAACATTGGATTGGGCTACACGAGTGAACACTGTCCCATTTAGATTTGGACTTTTATATACTCAGTTATTTTACGACACTCCCTTCCAAATTCATAGTTATCCAGGTATTGGTGACAGTATACTAAAGTTACAATATTGCTTTGTTAATTCATCATGCTGTTATGAATAGAAATCCACTCTATACTGTTATGAATAGAAATCCACTCTGCTGTATACACATGTACTATGGGCCTGTGGCTTTCAGTTCTGAATAAAGATTGAATGACTAAAGACGTTTAGCTTGAAGTTCTTGAAAGACATTTTGGACGAGTTGGATCAGCATGAATACATGACACGTTTTTTTGGACAACAACTTCTTTTTATTCTTTTTACGACGTTTCGGACGTTTCATCGGGTGAATGATGATGGGGCCAAACTTAGCTATGAAACGTAATAAGAAGTTGTTATTTATAAAATGTGTCGTGTAATCACTTCACTTGCTTTTTGCAATCACAGAGACAACACACGTCAGAACTCACCAGAAAGTGTGTTTGGGCGTGTGTTTGTTGCAATCAGTACACAGTATGGGAGGTGCAGCATATAGCTCTATGATGTGATATGAGTGATGCATGGAGGCTTATTGCAAACCGGAATTCCACAAGTGTAATTGTCACACTGTCAGCACTGACCACGTGTAAGCTCTCAAGGAACATGTTTTCTAAGTACTGCCTTCAGTTGGCGGTCGAGAGGATAGAACGTGTTATATGTGAGCGGTTCGATGGAACGATACCTACCAGATTGTGGCACAGATTACAGCACGGCCCCTTTGGGAAGGGCTGCTTTCGTCGCCTTACGCGCGATTGTTATGTGGCGCTGGATAGCTGGGTTCTGGGGCTACGACGGGAATGTTTTCGTTTGTTTTTATCTAAATTAATAGCCGAGCAATTAAGATTTATGTTATTTTAAGCTGTCTGTCTTTCTTGTAGGAAAGTGGAAGATTTTTTCCACGATTCTTCCAGTAGAATCTGCCTCCGTCGTTGCATTTTGAAGCCTTCTGTCACATCTATACATTGTTGGAAACCTGAGGAAACGCTCTCTCTACATATGCAAACGTGAATATTATGCTGTCGCGCCTTACGATGTTGGCAGGCGGTAATTGTTGTTGCATTGCAAGCATTGATGGGCTGAAACAACGACTGGTCGGTTCAGTGTCACATAGCGGTGTCTGATTAGAGTGTTTCTGTTAAACTGAAGTATGGCATCTCATTGGGCTAGTTCTATCACCACCCTTGAAGGTCCGGGTTAGAAATGATCTTCAGTAACCCTGAGGCAACCCAATTGAGGCGACTAAGGGGATCGGGTGGTCAGGCTCGCTGGCTTGTTTGACACATGTCATCGGTTCCCAATTGTGCAGATCGATTCTCATGCTGTTGACCACTGGATTGTCTGGTCCAGACTCGATCATTTACAGACCGACACCATATAACTGGAATGCGGCGTAAAACTAAACCCACTCACACAATAGCTCTGTAACACACATATTAGTCGAGTGAGTGTGTTAGTTGGGTTTTAGATCGCTTTTGGCAATATGCCAGCTATGTCACGGCGGGTACACCAGAAATGGTCTTCACGAATTGTGCCCATGTGGGGAATCAAACCCGGGTCTTCAGCGTGTTCTCATCTTCTGGATTGAACCATATGGGGAATCGAACCGGGGCTTACTGAAGAACGAACGCTTTAACCACTTGGTTACTCCACGGCCCAATATTGATTCAGACTAGCCCAAACAGTAACATTCAAAGACATGCATATCGCTCTATAAGATATATCAATACTATTGTATGCCTCGTTACCTCACCTCACATCACCTTTCCAATGTAAGTGAGTGATTTAGTTTTGTTTCTACGCCGTTTTTCCAGCAACATCACGACGGGGGATACCAGAAATGTCCTTCACACATTATTTTCTTGTGCGTGACGAGCAGTTACCCCACCGCTCAACTTTAGACAGAACAATATCACACCCTCGCCACACTCCAGGGTTAATCAACAAAGGGCCTCACATATTTATTTCTTTTGTTAAGTTATACTTGGGCTCCCTGTTATTAAATGCTCTCCATTATCGTGACACGAGCAAACATCGGGATACACCTCCAGGGGTGTAGCTGCAATTATGAAAGAAATCCCTTACACATGATTTGGAAAATGAAAGTTGGACAAAGCCCCAAGTACTATCTAGATATAAAGGTTTGCAACCTATCGGGCTTACACGAAAAAGTTGGCTTGCTACGCTCCTGATCTCTCGGCTGTGTACAAAATAAAGTCAACAAATCTATGCTCCAGAAAGAGAGATTTTTCTTTAACCACCAGGCTACGCAACCGCCCCTTTTCAAAGCATTCATGTCTATATATACATAAACCGATAGGGATAGAGTTTCTGGAATACAGAATGATCATCATTCATAGGACTGGTAGCGAAGGCTATTGCAGTCATAAACACTAACCAGCACAATAGTCCCGAACTGTGACTTCACGATCCATCAAGATAGGGGATCAAGAGGTCGGACTCTCATATGACTGATTGTGTCATAGGGAAATTCCCACAGTCAAAAGCAGTGATTATGTTAGAGGAAGTTCTCAGTAACCTTTGCTTCGGTTGTCATTGTAGACTAGCTCTTAGTCCCTTATATGTATACATTAATAGAAAGGAACAATTCCTTATAAACTTAAAACATTCCCAGTGAGATGGGACATTCAGAACCTGAGGAAATCTAGACTTGCGTCATTGAGGGCTTTAGCAATGCAGGGAGTGCTATGCAGAAGGGAAAACAATGCAGTTCAGGGACTGCGAGACAGACTAGTGCTGTTCATGATTGCGTGACATCGTTTCTCAACGACGGGGTTGTTGATTATGATATATCCGGCTTGTTTTCAACTGACTCGATTACTTACAGGTCACTTAGTCTGTTATACCAGAAATAATCTACAGCATATTCTCACTGGTTATACAGACCCTGTAACACATGTATCCAAGAAAGTCCATGCACGTCTAGAATATGTGGCAATTCCAGATTTCCGCAGTTTCTGAAAATGAAAGTCTCAAGTCCCCTTTTCATTATATTTTATTTTTTTATTGTAAAATATGTTCATTTCAGAGACAAGTTGTTAGTCTACAGGCCACTGTGGTTTTCTGCCACACTACAGAGTAACAAACCGTGACGACTGGCGTGATCTGGGAATGATCTTTTCGTCTTGATGTACCACCGGGCCACTAACACGTCATATGTGTAACAATGTGACGCTAGGACGAGGACCAACAATAGACGACTGAACAGCACAAGTTTAATTGAGACACTGAATGCGATGTGTACAAGGTGACACGGTTCGCGAGAAGCATGTGCGAGGCAGGCACATCCGGGTAGGGGGCCGGTCCGGCTCGCCTGGCTCAGTATACATGTAGACTGTGTGCAAGTCTCTTATCATTACATCTCCCCTCTCAAGTACGAAACTTCTCCAACTGGTGGGGAACCATCTGAAACATCTAACATGGTTAAATATGCAATAATTAACAATCCATCCACTCCCAGTCTCACCCATATCTAGTCCAGTCGGCGACGGAGACGGGTGACGTCACAGACGACGACACACGGCCACAGCGATGGAGTTGTAACATCAGCGGTTCAGGCGAGGGTGCGTGATGACAACAGAATATCACGACGATTCCGTCGAAGTTGACTACCACTATCTGTCTGAACATTGTAAGATCTTGGGCCAGCGTCCTGAACGACTGTACCACGTTGTGACCAATCACACCGTCGATGATCACGCACTGCAACTCTGTCACCACACTGTAGCCTACTCAAGGGCTTAGTTGACCTGTCGTAATAGTGCTTTTGTTTTAATTTCTGATTCTCTTTAAATTTAACAACTTTACGAGACCTGAAAACTTGCAAAAGTTTCTTCTGAATAGGGAGATTAGCGAATCTGCCCATGAGAATCTCTGCAGGGGATTGCCCACTATCCAAAGGAGAGCTTCTGTAAGCAAGCAATCCCATATAAGGATCCTGATTTTCCTTACGCAAAATGTTTTTCACAATCTGAACTGCTTTTTCTGCCAAACCATTCGATTGTGGATAATTTGGACTAGACGTGTTATGCTTGAATTGCCAATCATGTGCAAACTGTCTAAATTCATGACTACGAAACTGGTGACCATTGTCTGTAAATACCTCGTCTGGGATACCATGGCGAGCAAACACTGTTTTCATGGCGGTGATGACTCGACGAGACGACGTATCTGTCAATGAGCATACTTCCGGATAGTTGGAGAGATAATCTACAATCACCAGATAATCCTTCCCACCACAATAAAAGAGATCTGCTGCAACTTTCTGCCAAGGGCGAGAAACTGTCTGATTAGGCTGTCTGATGAGGCAGTGGTTCAGGCCACTGTCTGTTCCTGTAGGTTTGACACATAGAACAGTTAGACACAATATCGTCAATGCCATGATTGAGTCTTGGCCAAAATAGAGTTTCTCTGGATCTACGTTTACATTTTTCCATACCAAGATGACCAGCATGAATTTTGTCTAGCATGTACTTTCTGAGTGAGGTAGGTATTACTACCCTAACACCTTTGAAGATGACACCATCTACAACAGTCAAATCATGTCTGTAGTTCCAATACTCACGAAGATTCACGGGACATGAGCTTCTATGCTCTGGCCAACCTGATTCAATAACTTCCATCAAAGTAAATAGCACTGGATCCTTGCTTGTCTCCTGACGTATCTCAGCATAGCATGTCGTGGACACAGGGAGAGACGAGACGATCATGTCAATGTAGGCTTGAACACATTCTTCAGATGACGAAACAGATCCGGGCTTTGATGAAGGACATGAGAGTGACAATGTATCAGCTCTAAACATGAACTTTCCTGCGGTATGTGAGACTTGAACATCATACTGTTGCATTCTTAACATGAATCTCTGTATTCTGAGAGGGCATTCATTGAGAGACTTGTTGAAGATTGAAACTAATGATTGTGATCCGTTTCTACATATATGGACTTTCCATATATGTACTGATGGAAATGTTCACATGCAAAGGTTATTGACAACATTTCTTTTTCAATTTGAGCGTACCTTGTTTCAGCACTGGTAAGAGCTCTGGAAGCATACGCTACAGGCAACCAATCAGAATCATACTTCTGCAGTAGGACAGCACTTAAACCATTCTGGGAAGCGTCAGACGAAATATTGATCTTCCTCCTAGGATCAAAGAACTTCAGGACTGGTTCCTGTTACACAACTTGCTTCAGAGACAACCATGTGTGTTCCTGTTGAGGCAGCCACTGAACATCAACATCTTTATCCAACAATTGTCTAGGAGGTTGCGTCTTCTCTGACAAATAAGGGATGAATTTACCTAGGTAGTTTATCATACCCAAAAACCCCTGGACATCTTTCTTACAGGTAGGTCTCTGCATAGATTGTATTGCTTCAACCTTCGGGACATCTGGCTTCACACCATCACTGCTGATCACATCGCCAAGAAATGTCAACTCGGTGACCCCAAAAACACATTTGTCTGGGTTAAACTTCAAGTTATTCTGACGTGCGATATCAAGAACCTGAGAAAGATGTTTATCATGATCTTCAGGCGTTGAACCTGACACAATAATGTCATCCATGGAGGTATCTACACCTTCTACTGAATCAAACAAGGCGTGTATCGTTTTGTGATATACTTCAGGGGCAGAAGTGGGCCAAAGGGGAGCCGTAAGAATCTATATCTTCCAAAGGGTGTTATGAATGTACAGAGCTTAGAACTCTCCTCATCCAGCTTTAGTTGCCAAAATCCAGCTGATGCATCAAGTTTACTGAAATAACGTGCAATCGAGAACTTTGCAGTGATTTCCTCTCGTGTAGGACGTTTAAAATGTTCACGTTTAACGGCCTTATTTAAGTCTTTAGGGTCGAGGCAGACTCTCAATTGCTTGTTTGGCTTTTCAACAATTACAAGAGGACTCACCCAGTCCGTTGGCTCATTCACCTTGGTTATGGCGTCAAGCTTCTCCATGCGATTGAGTTCTTCCTTCAGTCTGTCATGCAAAGCAAAGGGTACTCGACGACATGCGTGCACAACAGGAGGAACATCATTGTCGAGCTTGATGTGGTGAACACCTGGCAGATCACCCAGACCCTTGAACACGTCTGTATAGTTCTGAAACACTACATCTCCGTCTAAAGGTAACTCAGAACCAACAGAGAGAACACGACGTACCAAATTCAGCTGGCCACATGCTTTCAACCCTAGAATAGACTGAACATCTTCTGTAGTTACAACAAACATGAGATCAATTTGTGTGTTCTTGTGACAAACTCTAGCTGTAAACTGACCATTACAGGAATATCAACATGAGAGTAACCAGTGATTTTAGTTCTGGAGGGACGGAGTCTTTGCTTGTCAAGTAGCCTGCTGAAATCTTTCTCAGAAAGGATATTAGCTTGAGCACCTGTGTCAAGTTTAAGTGGCAAGAACGTGTTATTGATTGTAAGGAGACTATCCAATCTTTGTCACAAACGAAATCTTTATCAATTGAATCCACAAAGAGTTCATCTTGGGTTTCCTCAACAAAGTGAACTTTACTTTTCGATGACTGATTCTTGGACCTACAAACTCTAGCAAAGTGATTCTGTTTCCCACATTTATCACATGATTTTCCAGATGCAGGACATCTTCTAGGAGCGTGCTTAAATCCACAATAGCCACATGTATCAGATTGCTCAGACGAACGGGAACTAGAACTCTGGGGCTTTTTCTGTTAGATTTTCGATGGCCAGATTTTGATTGTTGTTCAACAGAATGTACCGATTGGGAGTCTAGTGGATGAAGTTCATTAACTTGGACATAGTAACAGTCTTATCTAAAGTCAAATCATCTTCACGCAAGAGCCTTTCCCTTAATGCATCACACAAATTATCCTATCTCGGATGAGAGAATCATGCAAATCTCCAAACTCGCATGTTTGTGCTCTGCTCTTTAACTCTGTAACATACTGGTCTGTTTTCTCCCCTTCCCTCTGGCTACAGGTAAAGAATCTGTGCCTTTCAAAGGTAATGTTACGTCTGGGAATGCAATAAGCTTCAAATTTATCCAAAATCGGCTGAAGTTTCATAGCATCCGTATCATTCTCAAAATGAAATGTGTTATAAATCTCCAGTGCATCTTCTCCAATAGTAGACAAAAAAATAGACGACTTTACCTTGTCACCTTCCCGTCCTTGTCAGAAGCAGTCATAAACAACTGAAACCGTTGCTTGAACTTAAGCCAGTTCTCCGCAAGATTACCATTCAACAGCAAAGGCGAGGGTGGATGTAGTTTGTCCATTCTCTGACGAAACCACTTCTGACACCATGTAACAATGTGACGCTATGACGAGGACCAACAATAGACGACTGAACAGCACAAGTTTAATTGAGACACTGAATGCGATGTGAAAAGGTGACACGGTTCGCGAGAAGCACGGGCGAGGCAGGCACATCTGGGTAGGGGGCCGGGCCGGCACGCCTGGCTCAGTATACGTGCAAGTCTCTTATCATTACAATATGTAATATATCTACCATAACATGCCAAACATTGGAAACTGTGATATATACTGAACAACATTTGAAACGCACCACACCAAAATGCACCGACTATGCTCAGATATCATGGGTACATTTCAGTCTGACGGGGATATTTCGTAGTATATGGGTGGTGCGTTTCTAATATTGTTCAGTATATATTTACTCTTTAATCTGATCTAATGAGTCCAACATGATCGTGCATAATGTGCTTCGTGCTTCCTGTTTGTAAGGGGCGGTGAGTTAGACAAGTGGTTAAAGCGTCCGCTTGTCAGGCCGAAGACCCGGGTTCGATTCCCCACATGGATACAATGTGTGAAGTCCATTTCTGGTGTCCCCGCCGTGATATTGCTGGAATATTGCTAAAAGCTGCGTAAAACCATACTCACTCACACCTGGTTGTCACAAAAACAAACCCCAGGATCATTTACTTCAGAGGCCATTCGCACTTGGAAAGAGGAGAAACTCTTTTGCATAGATGTACATAAAAATCAAAAGGGACATCTTCCCTGGAATCTTCTAGTTCGTGTGGCTAAGACAGTGGAAGGGGTAACTGGACTATTGTTGAACATCAGATAATCTATGCTTTGTGTCAGACCAATAGTCAGAATTTGGCCAGTCTTCGGTGAATTTGAATTCGCGTGCGTAAAGAACCAGTGCCTAGATTTTCGATGCTCTGCAGGGCCTAGATTTTCGAGGATCTCTTAGCGCTAAGATAGTCGTAATTTAATGTTAATGTATGGCACTTACGACTATCTTAGCGCTATGAGAGCTTCGAAATTCTTGGCCCAGATCAGCAAGAATGCGAGGATAACTAGTGCCTATAGGGATGCCTGAATGTATTAGTCCCCGGATGTATGTGTACATCTATGGCATCCATGTTTAGAAACAGACGCCCCATCGATCAAGTTTCCCCTTGATGTTGTCGTGTTTCTGAGAATCAACATTGTCTGAAATAATTTGTGTGAACAAGGATTTGGTGCACATTGCAGCATCTTTCTCCTATGATTTTTATGGCGCTTTGGATTCCTGCACAAAACTTGAATTGACGTCTTCGGGTTTTAGAGTCGAGTCAAAACATGACACTAATGATGCGTATTATGGCAGAGGTCTTCCTTATCTGGCACACTGGCATTACGTGTGGTAATATTTGATATGCCACGGACAAATTATCGGAAGGAATTTAGATACCATCGCTGCTGATGACACAGAGATAATGAATGTAATGTGGTCCTGTGTGAACATGTACCCTATCCGTGTGGCCTGATGTACACACAAGCCAAGGGAAAGACGTAAACACAGCACACTGGATACAAACGCAGGCTGCACTGACTGAGTAGAAACCAGCGGTCTTGGGAAACTCGATATCAATGTACATGTAGAGGAACACAATGGGATAACCTATCAGCCAACAGACAAATTGGAATCACAATGTCTGAGGGACATATGGGGACACATTTACTTTACGTGGAACATATGGGAATGGCCCAAGAAACCGTGGAACATATGGGAATGACCCAAGAGACCGTGGAACATATGGGAATGGCCCAAGAGACCGTGGAACATATGGCAATGACCCAAGAAGACGTGGAACATATGAGAATGGCCCGTGGAACATATGTGAATGATATATAAGAAGAATGGAATGACCTAAGAGACCGTGGAACATATGGGGATGGCCCTAGAGACAGTGGAACATATGGAACATATTGGAATGACCCAAGAAGACGTGGAACATGATATAAGAGGACGGGGAATGGAATG